CAAAAGTAAGAGTAGCTAGAAGCTTGGCAGAAACATGGGAAAAAGACCTAACTCAACATTTTGTATTTTTTGAAGTTTTACTCATGTTATGGAATATTGTTTTGCACTTGTGTATAACTATTTGCATTTGGCATATAGATATTTTAGAAGCAAATTCATTCCCACTGATCAACAATCACATCCTCCCCCCTCTCCTGCCCTCCCCTCCCCCCCAACTCCTTTCTATTTTCTAGTCCTGTTTAGGTTTCAGATTCCGTATGATGGGTATTATACCATCAAGCATATGCTCAGAAGAGACCCAGCTGGCTGGAGGCCATGGTGTGTCCCTGGCATGTGCTCTGCAACTTCAATCTCACGTTGCTGTTTCTTTCTACCAGGCAAAAATCTAATTTATATTTTATCGGTATGGGCAACTGTTCTCTAATGCTTTCCCAGTAACTCAGTCTTACTCTTCTCTTTTTTTGTCACTTTTATTGTGTATGTATTTTTATCCTACCCACAAAAATACTTATTCTAATGCCCTGGCAGCCCAGCACATTACTTTTGTGAAGTTTTAATTTCAAATAAGAAATAATCCTGTCTTGATAATGGTGGTCAGTCACATGTGTCACCTTCAACTTTTTGGAATAGTTTACAGAAATTCGAGACTTAATAATCTATAATTTAAAAAAAAAAGTAAACTCAGACTATTTTGATTTCAGGACTAAAGATTATTTAACGGTAATGGATGAGTATTTCTTTAGAAGGTTCTATTATGTAGATGAAAATATCTAGGACACGTAGGATTACTGTAGAGTTACTGCTCATTGCAGTGGGTGAGGTGAGACAACAGAACTGGTATTATTGAGAAGAATGCTGAAGAGCTTTTAATTTTAGAAAAAAACAGAATCATATTGCTTGATGCCTGATACTTGAACACAATCTTATGTTATCTGCTAACATCTAACTAGAATTAGTTTAGACCTTCAAAATTTCTAGAATATGCTCAGTGCCTTCAAAATGGAGAATACATTACAACAACCAGAAGACTTTACATTGCTTTTCTCCAGCAATGAGAAGTTTTTCTTTTTTTGTTACGTATTCACTTTTTAATTAAGGTTTATTATCTTCACTTAATCAGTTGATAGAATTCCAGACTTTTAAAAGTATTAACAATTATTTTTTGACTCAAGTTCTGCTTGGCATACTATTACCATATTTGCTTTATTAGGGAGAGATTTAGGAAGAATTTACTTGTCAGTAATTTACATTCCAACTATTTTCTCAGTAGCCCCATCATTTTAATTTATTCTTCTCTGACATTTATGTTCTTGCAATGTTAATTAAAGAATGTTGAATAACATTCAGAAAATCAAATTGAATGTTAAGAGCAATTAATAAAGGTATAGAAAAGTGAAATCACAAGGAGAAGATAAGTAAAGAACAACCATTCGTTGCCTTCAAAAGTACAAGAATTAGGGGTGTCAAACTTGGTGAGATAGCTAAAACCAAAATGGGATGCATGTAAACTGTAAGAAGTGACATGTGCTCTAAAGGCAACTTGAGAAAGTAATTTTAGAAAGTTTGATTGGTGCATATGCAAAACAAAGTCAGCACCTTTTGATTATGAAGTGTGGGACCCTCAAAGGCTTGTAGGAGGAGAATCACAGAATGGTAGGCGTTGGAAGGGACCTCTGTGGGTCATCTAGTCCAACCCTCCTGCCGCAGCAGGGTCACCTAGAGCAGGCTGCACAGGACCTTGTCCAGGCTGGTCTTGAATATCTCCAGAGAAGGAGACTCCACAACCTCCCTGGGCAGCCTGTTCTAGGGCTCCGTCACCCTCAGAGGGAAGAAGTAGAGAAGTACTACTCCATGCTTGTTCTGGTCTTGTGCCGGTCTCACTGTTCTCTAAGTCAGCACTGTTGGCTGGCTTTGTAGACAGAATATTGGGTGACCTAGACATAATGTGTGATCCGATGTCTGTTCTTATGTTTCAATATCAATTTTTAATGCATTTTTAATGTGGTTGAATTTAGGAGCTGAGCAGGGTTTCACTTTGGTGTTTGATGACAATTTTAAGGCTGTGGTATTTCTTCATGGGCTTCTCTAGGCAGATTTACTATTACTTGGATTTTGCCATTCTGACTTACTCATAGAAACTTGCATGTACAAGAACTGAAGTCTGCAGTTTTAGTCATTGTTTTGGTAAAAAAAAAATTGCCTCTGTCTTTTTACACCAGACTTAACTGAACAAGGTAGAAACTCCTTTTTTTCAAGGTAGGAAGGAATCTTCCCCTTGTCCTGCAAGTTGCACTTCAGCTGCTTCGATGCCTCCACATTACACAGTGCAGTCTACGGAGAAATATTTTCTATATTTATTGTGATAAAAAGGCAGGAATAGAATACAGAGTTAACAGTGATGTTATTTATAAAGTAGAAGATTTTCAAAGTATTCTTTAATTTAAACCTAAGGTTTCAACTCACGCAAAATTTATTCCAGTAATAAAACAGTGTATTTGTCAACTTCTTGATTTCAGTTGTACTCTTCCTAGTATTCATACTTCGTTTTATGCAAGTGTTATTTGCAGGATTTAGGGAAAGTAGCTTTTTTTTTTTTTTTACAGGATGTGGACTACAGAAATATTTTTCTATTGGCTTCATTTAAGGAATGAAGGAATTCATTTAACTTTTTTAAGTTTGAAAAGCTGTATTTGGAGCTGCAGTAAGCCCACTTACAAAGTTTTCCAATTCCTTGTTATGTCTTTAGAGTCCACTAGCTGAAACTAGTTACTGTTAGTTTATAATCCGTAAGATTGCTAATGCAGAGAGCTCATGCTCTGACTAAACATAAACAGGAAAGGGTAAAAGAAGTAGAGACACAATCACATTCCATGTTTTTTGAACACTGGCCACTAATCTTGTATTGTTTGCTAGTACATACTCATTTTTTGTTATAAATGCTTGTTAGTATTCTGTTTATTTTATTTTGTATGCTTTTTTTTCACAGAATCACAGAATAGTAGGGGTTGGAAGGGACCTCTGTGGCAGAGGGAAGAAGTTCCTCCTCATGTTCAGACGGAACTTCCTGTGCCTCAGTTTGTGCCCATTGCCCCTTGTCCTGTCGCTGGGCACCACTGAAAAGAGCTTGGCCTCATCCTCCTGACACCCACCCTTCAGATATTTGTAGGCATTTATAAGGTCCCCTCGCAGCCTTCTCTTCTTCAGGCTGAACAAGCCCAGTTCCCTCAACCTCTCCTCGTAGTGGAGATGCTCCAGTCCCCTCACCATCCTTGTAGCCCTCCGCTGGACTCTCTCCAGTAGCTCTTCATCTTTCTTGAACTGGGGAGCCCAGAACTGGACACAGTACTCCAGATGAGGCCTCACCAGGGCAGTGTAGATGGGAAGGAGAACCTCCCTCGTCCTGCTGGCCACACTCTTCTTGATGCACCCCAAGATCCCGTTGGCTTTCTTGGCAGCCAGGGCACACTGCTGGCTCATGGTTAACCTGTCGTCCACCAGGACACCCAGGTCCCTCTCCGCAGAGCTGCTCTCCAGCAGGTCCACCCCAAGCCTGTACTGGTGCATGAGGTTGTTCCTCCCCAGGTGCAGGACCCTGCACTTGCCCTTGTTGAACCTCATCAGGTTCCTCTCTGCCCAGCTTTCCAGCCTATCCAGGTCACGCTGAATGGCAGCACAGCCTTCTGGTGTATCTACCACACCTCCCAGTTTGGTGTCATCAGCAAACTTGCTGAGGGTACATTCTAACTCTTCATCCAGGTCGTTGATGAAGAAGTTACAGTAGTAGTTTAACCTAGGATTTAAAAATTGATTCTACTGAAGTCATCAAGTAGAATTTTGAAGTGGACCTCCTGTTGCTGCCATCTCAACCCTGTCCTTTGAGAGACCTTGAGTTATTACCAGATTGTGAACTGTCATGAAAATCTGGTCACAACACAATGAGCAGGAAAAACTGCAAAAACTTTGGTAGTGTAATGATCCGCTAACAGCATATTTACCTAAAAAAGAGACTGTTATCTACAGGCGTGGTTTACCTTAGGTAATAAGAGTTCTTCTTGTTGAAATTTTTATTCTACGTCCTGTTATAGTCATCACATTCTTCAGTCATTTTCTGAGTAGTGCTGTGATAATACCTATCTGTCACAGTGCTTTCTGGCCCTTTGTATTTCATTGTATCATACTTGATTTATGTACAGTGCTTGACTTTCCCAGGCATCCATATGTCCAATGTAAGAAAGATGTGGAAATATATCATTGCCCATGCAATTGCTTTCTGCTGGGATTAAAAAAAAATAAATCACAAGTCAAGGAACTCTGGTAAAACTGTATGGTGTCTTCTTATTCATGGTCTAAAGCAGCGACAATCTGCTTGATTGGACACTTTAATATACCAGCAAAACTTCTAATTCCTTTTTTCCCCTCCCTCAATATTTGCTAACGATAGGAATTCACTGTATGTATCGCTGTTAAGGGACCTCGTGCCATTATTGCTGTTCACTCAAATACAGAGCAGTAATTCATCTTCATTCACAACCTGGGATTCTGCCATCAAAATGTAGATGGCGTATCTTTAGCTTTCTTATATATAATATAAACATATTGTAAAACCATCCCCAAAGAGAAAGTAATTGCAATGGTTAATGTAATTGTGGCTTTCATGAGATATAATTTAAAAAATTGAACAAGAGACATGCCCTGAATTAGAACCTAGCAATGGCGAGACCAGTTGTGTTGGAGCTTTTGCTAAATACAAAGTTTGATGAATAAAGACATTTCTGTAACTAAACAAGAACTATATTACACAAAAAATGTTAAAGAAACAAGAAATGTTGTCTTCTAGCGTGCAAGCATTTCTTCCAGTCTGTTACAATTTGGATTTCAGCAGAATGTGGTATTTAATTTGCTGAATTTTAAATCCTGCTAGCCAGAGTTATTGAACCTGGTTCTTTTCCTGTGTCATCTGAGAAATATCTCTCTTACCCACTTAAATTTTTGCATTTCAGGAATCTTATTCAAAGAAGAGAGGTTATGCATTGGAAGCAATACCATCTGTACCTCTGGATGCAGTTCCTTCAGAAAATGACAGCAGTCTTTCTGATTCGATAGACATAGCAGTGACCAAAAAACCTTGTTCCCTAGAGATAGCAAGAGTTCCTTCCTCAAGACCAGGTAAATCACCAAATAATCCTATACATAGTCTTTGGTGTAAGTGTAATGTTATAGAAGGTATAGAATTATATATAGAAGGTATAGGTTCATATTTTTAAGAATACAGTACTCTACTTATCGCAGCATGATTATAGTGTTCCGTTAGCTACCGTAAGAGCTTAATATCACAATAAAGATTAATAGCAAAATGCTGTAGAAGGGAAAACAAAGCAGATGTTTAAATAATTTCCTAGATAAATATGATAAGAATGAAAAAAGCAAAATTATAAATCAAATTTCTTAAAGCCCAGCTTTTTGCAGTAATCTATTTACCACCCTGTTTCTGTTGTTTAATGAAGTCCTTAGCAACATTATACAACTAATTCAAAATTTAAAGTACTCTCTATTTTCATGTTGCATAAAGGGAGAGCTGCTCCATTTTTGAAAATGAAACAGTGAATGAGAATTGATAGGAATATTAAATGACAGTTTGTCAGACTACTGTTTGTGTTATACAGTTTTGAACAGCATGAGTTACAATAGTTAAAAAAACAACAGAATTATGCTGAATCAAATGAATGATATTATCTACAAGGACTCTGTTTTTGTTCTCCAAAATTATATGTTCTCTTGCATTACCCTTGTTTGAACTTCATTAGTCACCACCTGGTACAGGCATTTCAGAATATAATCATTTCATGATAAGTAATAAGACTAAGAGTCTGCTCTGACAGTTCTCAGCAGCACAGATGTATTTGAAATGGACAACTGACTTTTTGACCTGTGCTATCTTGATTATGAATCATGATCTGTGAATTATACAAGAATGACAGAAGAGTGTTGACTAATATCGTGTTATCTATCTAGTCTGTGTAAGGGGAAGCACCTTCTTGATTTCACAGCTGAACTAGTATTGAAGAATGCCACAGCTATATCAAACATCATGTATAAGGGCTAGATATCGAGGTACAGCTTTGGAGTCTGCAAGGTGAGGTGGAGTGGATTATAATTCCCACCTCTCCATAGAATTTGAGCTAAAGAAGACTTGAGGGAACCTGCATTATGAAGAGTGATCTAAGAGGTGGCACAAAATAGGATAGCATCTTTATTGCATAGTTGAACAGAGTGAACCAGAATCGGACTCGAACATCAGCATGTCTACTTGTGTAACTTAAGGTGTACGTTCTTGATGATAACCTAAAAAATTAGAAAACTGTGCAGCACAATATCAAAGAATCGTAGGGGTTGGAAGGGACCTCTGTGGATCATCCGGAGTGATCTGTGCATCAGTCCAAAATCCCCTGCCAAAGCAGGGTCACCTAGAGCACGCTGCACGGGACCTCGTCCAGGTGGGTCTTGAATATCTCCAGAGAAGGAGACTGCACAGCCCCTCTGGGCAGCCTGTTCCAGTGCTCCACCACCCTCACAGTAAAGAAGTTGTCCCTCAAGCTCAGACGGAACTTCTTATGCTGCAGTTTGTGCCCGTTTCCCCTTGTCCTGTTGCTGGGCACCACTGAAAAGAGTCTGGCCCCACCTTCCTGATACCCACCCTTAAGATATTTACAAGCATTTATAAGATCCCCATCTCAGCTTTCTCTTCTTCAGGCTAAACAAGCCCAGGTCCCTCAGCCTTTCCTCACAGGAGAGAGGCTCCAGTCTCCTCATCATCCTCATAGCCCTCCGATGGACTCTCTCCAGTAGCTCCTCATTTTTCTTGAACTGGGGAGCCCAGAACTGGATGCGGTACTCCAGATGGGGTATCACTAGGGCACAGTAGAGAGGGAGGAGAACCCCCCTTGACCTACTGGCCTCACTCTTCTTAATGCACCCCAGGGTACCATTGGCCTTCCTGGAAACCAGGGCACACTGCTGGCTCAGGTCAGCTTGTCATCCACCAGCACTCCCAAGTCCCTCTCCGCAGAGCTGCTCTCCAGCAGGTCAACCCCTAACCTGTACTGGTGCATTGGGCTGTTGCTGCCCAGGTGCAGGACCCTGCACTTGATCAGGTTCCTCTGTGCCCAACTCTCCAGCCTGTCCAGGTCTCGCTGGATGGCAGCACAGCCTGCTGGTGTATCAGCCAGTCCTCCCAGTTTGGTGTCATCAGCAAACTTGCTGAGGGTGCACTGTGTCGCTTCATTCAGGCCATTGATGAAGAAATTGAACAAGACTGGGCTGAGTGCTGACTCCTGGGGAACACCACTAGCTACAGGCCTCCAACTAGACTCTGCACTGCTGATGACAACCCTCTGAGTTCTGCCGTTCAGCCAGTTCTCAAGCCACCTCATTGTCCACTCGTCTAGCCCACGCTTCCTGAGCTTCCCTAGGAGGATGTTACGGGGGACAGTGTCAAAAGCTTTGCTGAAGTCGAGGTAGACAACATGCACGGCTCTCCCCGCGTCTACCCAGCCAGCCATGCCATCACAGAAAGCTATCAGATTGGTCAAGCATGATTTTCCCTTGGTGAATCCATGTTGACCGCTTCTGTCAACCTTCTTTTCCTCCATTTGCTTAATGATGACATCCAGATTGATCTGCTCCATCACCTTTCCAGGGACGGAGGTGAGGCCCACTGGCCTGTTGTTCCCTGGGTCCTCCTTCTCGCCCTTTTTGAAGACTGGAATGACATTGGCTTTCCTCCAGTGTTCAAGCACGTCTCCTGTCCTCCATGACCTTTGAAATATGATGGAGAGAGGCTCAGCAATGATGTCTGGCAGTACTCATGGGTGCATCCCATTGGGGCACATGGATTTGTTGGTGTCCAGTTTGCTTAAATGATCTCTCACACAATCCTCCTCAACCAAGGGAAGGTCTTGCTTTTGCCAGACTTCCTCTCTTACCCTCAGGATCTGGGATTCCTGAGGACTGGCCTTAGCAGTGGAGACTGAGGCAACGAAGGCATTCAGTAACTCCGCCTTCTCTGTATCATCTGTCACCAGGACAGCCACCTCATTCAGCAGCGGGCCCACATTTTCGCTAGTCTTCCATTTGCTGCTAATATACTTGAAGGAGCCCTTCTTGTTGTCTTTTACATCCCTTGACTGATTTAATTGTGGGTGGGCCTTAGCCTTGCTTGTTGCTTCCCTGCATGCTCTGACGATGTTGCTATATTCCTTCCAAGTGGCCTGTCCCTTCTCCTACATTCTGTAGACCTTTGTCTTCCATCTGAGTTCCACTAGAAGCTCATTCATGCAGGTCTCCTGCCTCCTTTACTAGGTTTCTTACTCAGGGGATGCAGTGGTCCTGAGCATGGAGGAAGTGGTGCTTAAATAGTGACCAGCTCTCTTAGACCCCCCTACCTTCTAGAGCCCTGACCCTCGGGATTCCTCCAACCCAATATTATGGTTTTTCATTTAGTATACGAAGAAAATGCCAAATTATTCTTGTTTTTCAGACTTCTACTTCATTAATCACCATAAACATACTTATTGCAATGGGAAGACTGCCATACCCCTACCCCATAAATTGGTCAGGGGAGTTCATTATCTGCCTCTGTAGTAATGGGGCTCAACTACAAAGCTTTTCATTATAATTAGTATTAAAAAAAAAATCACCTTTTCGCTAGTTAAAGTACCAGGCTTTGGGAGTGTGCTGTCTGCTGAACATAGGGATTTTTCTTAGGCATAGTAAGTCCATTAAGATCGGTATGAAAAACAGATCCTAAAAAGAACATTTTTATGTCTTAATCTGGAAATATGTTTTGCATGTGGTTAAATATGGTGTGTACTGGGGTCCCAGAGAATACCCAAGGAAGCTGTAGGATATTCATGAGGGCACCCATCATCTTTATAAGATCTAACAAGATCAGTGAGTTGACAATACGAATGTACTGTAATTCCTTCTGTCTTAGTTCTCCGTATACCACTATGATCTTTTCCTTGGCATTTTATTGGGAAGAACATTTGGCTGTATAGATAAGCAGATTGCAAGATGTAATTTTATTTTAAACTATAAATGTAGTAAGCTAACTCACCTGGCTTATAAGCCGTATCTGTAATCACACTGGCTGTTATATTACGATTGGCCCAAATAAAATCAACCATGTCACTCACAGTTATAAGGTACTTCACACTGTGAAATTATATGGGAATGTCAGCCTGCCACTTCAGTTCATATAGATTTATTTCTTGTATATGTTATATATGATTACAGAGATGACTCATTTAAAACAAATATATAATTTGCATGCCTTTTTTCCTGAATTTCCCTGGTATTGTAGCACTGAGACATGCTGACTTTGTGAATACTATTTCAAATTGCTGTACCATGTCATGTGTAGTGTTCATTTCAGAGCATGAGGCAGCACTTTGAACATAAAATTCCATCTGTCAGTCTCCTTTCCTTAGGTGGTAGGACACTCTGATCAGCTTTTCCCACTGTCTGGGGCATTACTACCTCTTGGCAGTAGAAGTGAGACTGCACTCAGTGACTGAAACTTCTCCTTTCCTGTATGGAGAGGAAAGGTCATTCTGTCTCTCCTTTCAGTCTATAGAGCTGCATGTTGTAACTTACCTAGCCTGCCAGTAAACTCCGAACAAGTTGAGAATAGTCAACTTGCCAGTCATCATTCTCTGATCTACTGGGGAAAAAATCAGGCTGCTCTGCAGTTCCCCCTATCATTTTTAATTTCCTGAATCTTATTCTTGAACTGGTAGGGAGCAGCAGAGGATGAGAACTCCATGCACCAAATGGTAAAGGACTGTTAGATAAGAGAGAGAAAAACTTAACAGAAATGAAATAAAAATAGTTATAAAGTTTGTTACTTCTTTTTCTGAATTCCTACATTGTGGGAGTTTTGTGTCTATTTGCAAGGAATTAGGTTTGTAGAGGAAGAAGAACAGTTTCATTATTGGTTTCTGCTGGCAGTTATAACAATTGCTTCTAATTAGGACTGATCTAACAGTAAAAAAGACTGCATGTGTGTCTGAGTTCAAGTCAAGCTGGTCTTTGTTTCTGCAGCAGATTGATAGGACAAGGTTGGCAGAGTGTGTTACCATCTCTGTCTCAGTATCTCTGCTTTTAGA